GTCTTTGAAGGACTGCTTTGACCCCTCAGAAACAAAACTGATACTGGAAGAAAGACTGCGGAGGCTAAAGGTAAACTATTAAAATTTTCTAATTTCTAAAGCTGATTGTTCTTAAAGTTTTGCTTTTGTCCAAGTACTTTAGTGTGCAAAAATACAGAAAGTCAAATATGTAGAGAGTAAAATGAAATTCTGACCCTATTGGAGTCAAATGCGAAAAGTTTGCATTCACTTTGTTCTAGGCAGATTTTCAGTCTAAGTCAGACAGAATCAACAGAAAAGTGATGGAAAAGCCATAACATCTGCAAGAAGCAATCACAGTTAAGTGGCAGAAGAAGACATGGTGGTGTCAGTGCAAGATTTGAATGTTGTTTGCGTATTTCTTCTGTGTGTATTTGTGCTGTAGAGAAGAAAATCCAAGTCATCTACTTCGCTTCCTCCTTATTTTACAAACAGCAACTTTTCCGTTTACAAGTGGAATAGTCAGCAAACTGTGAATTAACATATATTCCTTTTCAGGAACTGGAATTGCTGTAGAAAATATTGGTGGAGATAACAAGAGTTGAAAAACTCTTGTAACATAAATATCTATTCTACAACAGCAAATTTGACAAATGCATCTTGTGTTTGTGCTCTTACTCAGCACTTCCTAACATCTGAAGGCAAAGACAGAGATATCCAAGAGGTTAAAACTTTATTGAATAAAGTGAAGCACTACTTGCCCAAAGCAAGCATTAACCACCTTAACAGCCGTGTGAGAGATCAAGAAGCAGAACTACAAAGATTGATCTCCAAATGTCAAAAACGGGAAAAGGAACTTGATGCTTCTTTCCAGCAGCTCAATAGGTAGGGAACTAATACAGTTTCTGACATTTTAATCACAAGTGATATAAAATGATTCATTATTAAACAGCCATAGTGAATAGCAAACAAATCTGCTTTTTATTAAAGATGGTATTTAAATGAAGAGTAGTGAGTATTTTGTTGTATGCTTCACGAGGTTTTTCGCTTCATAGCAGATTCGGTGTTATATGGGAGTATGTGCTTATGGCTAGTTTCAGTGACATGAACTTGTGCTTAAAACTTGCCTTGATCAGGAGCATGATATTTATGTTACTTTTTCAGCAAAACACTGCTGTCAGCAGGTTTTAGTAATGTAATGCCTCTCATTTTGACCTGTGTCTGTATTTATACTCTCTTTAGCCTTGAAGAAAGCAGCACAGTCTTGGAAGAATGGCTCACTGCTCAGGAAGAAAAACTAAAAGAGGTCAAAAAAGATGCAACTAAACTTGAGAACTTCTATAAAACACTATTAATGCAGAGGTATTGTTTTCTTTGGTCTCTATCTAAGAACTGTCTTCTAAAGAAGATTGCTCCATGTTGTTACAACAAATAATGTTCATTATTTTTTTGTATTTTTCAGAAAACCATTTGACTCTATGGCTCACCTAGCAAATTCCTTGAGGGAGGCTGGGCTGACAGAATATGAAACCATTTCAGAAGCCAGTGATCTTATTAGTAGATACCAGACACTGATAATACATGTAAGTGAAGTGGCAGGGAAGACCGAGAGACTTCCAGTAGAAGGACAGAATTTTGAAGAACTTGCCCAGGATGTTTCTTGCTCGATCAAAAAGCTCGAGGAGGCTATTAATAACCTGAGTTCACAGGAAAGTGAGTTGCCATCAGACGAAAGGATTAATCAGATAAAGGTATTGGGTTAAATGTATCTGTTTTCCACTTCATATTTCATGCTAATATCAGGGGAATACTTGATGAGTCAGTACCTCATAAAAGATACTGTCACTCTTGAGTGCCTGTAGTTTTGTGGCTTATTTGGGGATGAGGAGGGTGTTGGGGTTTGTTTGTTTGTTTTTGCATAGTTTATTGTGCACATAAGATAAGATTCTCTGCTGCATCTCTGGGTGGAGCAGCACTGAACTCGCAAGGTGCTGTTGGCCGTGCTCCTTCCCGTCATAGCCTACTCGAGAGGTGGAGAGGGAGCTCAGTAACATAGCTGTGGCATCTGGAGAGCCTCTGCAAAGCATGTGGCTTCTCGGGTGTCCTGCAGTGCTGTTGTGCTGGGCTGTTCCACTGCCTGGGCGGGTCTCTCAGGTCCCAATGTCCTCTTTGCTGTCTCCTCTCTCTGACTATCTAGGATAAGGATGCTGGGATTTACATGTTTTGTTCTGTGGAAGGGGTAGTATTGTGACAAATATCTCTTCCTAATATATGGAGTATTTTTTTATTTGTCAGCACAATATTAATTTTGTTATGTAGTGAATAATTAATAAATCAGCTTCATTATCTCACACTTTCTAAAACTAGATGATCTATCCGTTTATGTATCAGTTATGTGATATATTGGAAGGAGAATTCTTTTGTCTTGAACAGTATTCAAAGTATGAAAAAAAGTCCTTGGTAATACCTTTTATTTTGTAACCAAAAATAGTTGTATATGTACTGCCTTTGCTCTTTGTTTAATACAGGAAATCACAGCTCTCAGAGATGCAGGAGAGGCCAAAATACAGAACATGGTAGTTCTAGGAGAAACTTTAATGAGAAATGAGAAAACTAAGAAGGCAGTTGTTCAGCAGACTATTTCTGAGCTGCAGAGCAAGTGGGAAAGCACCTGTCAGCTAGCTCCTGAGTACAGAAGGTAATGTGGAATTTGCCAAGAGGCAGTACGGATCACTTACTGCTATATTGACTTTCTTCCTCCTCTTCTTGTACCAGTTCAATTGAATTTGTGTTTTTTGGGGGCAGAACAAGATACCTACAAAAATACTTGTATTTCTGCAGTAGTGTGGAGGGCAAGGTCGCAGTTTGGATTGAACAGACAAGTGGGGTGTGTAGCCAGGAGGTGTAATGGGGGTGGCAGGACAGCTGATGGGGTCTGCCCAACTCGCCGCAGATTCCTTTTTGATACTGAAGTAGTCAGCCACTCTTGTGGAAAAAAAAAAGTGCACTCAATGCCCCTTTTTTCATTAGACTGTGTAGCGAGAGTGCAATGATTTCACCACTGCAGTGGCCCTTCCTGCAATCTGATCTGGGCTCTGTGCCCCAGGCATGGTCCCCCAGCAGAGGTGGGATCTGCCTTTGTGCAGATTCATACTGCTTCAAAAGAAAATTTGGAGTAAATCAAGGAGGCTGGGATTTTTAAAGTAGAGTTTTTAAAGCCTGGTTTATTCTGGCTCTATGAGAGGCTTTCTTGGCTCTGGCAACTGATATTGTTAAGTCAGCAAAGGTGCTTCACTGTCACTGACACTGTGGCAACTGTGTCTGAGAGCCAGGCTGATTCTTTAAAACATGTCACGATTCTAGGTCTGTTGTGTAAACATAAACTGAAGTTCTGGTTTTGCACATACAGACACTTTCAAGATACTTGTCTGCCGTAACATCCTTGAACCAACTTTGAGTAAAATCATGGGGAACTTTGTTGTTGAGATCATTGGAAGATAGAGTAGACCTACTGTATACTTTTTCAAAAATGTCCAGGGAATGAATGATAAAAAACAAGAATTTTTGAGAATATTCAGCTGCTTTTTGTTATCACTGAGCACTCAGTACAAGCAATACAAGTGGTGTTCAGAAAGACAGAGCATGGGCTATATTGGATCCAACACAGCAGAATGCAGAGCACCCTCTTTACAGTATGTTGAAGACAAGAGATGAGGTGCTCAGCACGTCTGAAGAGATGCTCAGGACCTTGCAGGATCAGGCCTGTGAATAACAGATGTGATGTGGTATCGGCGGCAGTGTGAAACTGGAATAGGGAGCTTGTATGTGAGGCTATGCTTTATTTGGCATTTTCTAAAAAATATGAATCTTGAGGGGCAAAAACCAAAACACTTAAGCTTTGCTTTTGTCCTCGTTTATCCTGCTGTACTTTACAGAATTATAACCAGACTTTATTTATTTGGATTTGTTTGTGTGGGATCATATTTTCAAATGTTGCCATTTAAGATCAATCTGGAAAGTATTTGAGCTTCATCACTAAATGTGAACATATAAATGTTACTTTTGTCTCACTGATCATAGCTGCATAGTTCCTGTGGATAAATGCAAAGTGTTCGCCTGCAGCAGATCAGCATGCATGCTTATAAAGCACACAAATCGAAATCCAATGTCAAGGTCAGGAAAGTAGGCACTGGATTGTGCTAACATGACCCATGCTGCTTATGCTGGTTTTGTTGTCCGTATCTCTAAAACACTCCCCCAACCCCATCTCAACCAATGCAATGTGTATCTTCTACAGAACATTCCTTTTCAGGAGAAGTTGTCAAGGAAAATAGATTCATAGCCATATTGTAGTTTTTAAACAGAACTTCAGAGGTAATGAAAAGCAGAAAAATACAGAGCATGAGCATCACATCTCAGATGCTAGAAAGTATGGGTTTATAGGTTAAGGTTTAAGAGGGTTGGTCACATGTCATAGAATCATAGAATCATTATG